GTCCACTAGCCTAGTCCACAAAGCCCAACCATTCCAAACGCCCACTCTCACAAGCAAAAATAAGCCTGCCACTGCCTAGCCACCAAAAAACGCCTCCTAGTTTGCTGGCCATAGCTTTAACAGCCTAACTTCACTACAGCCTGCAAACAATCAAACAAGCCCACCCCTCACACCTTTTAAAATATCATAAAGGAAAATAACCCATAAAATCCTCACCAGCCATCTTCATTACCCTAGTCCTAAATCATTATTACTCATATCATATACTCCCTTATCCCCAACACCAGCCATCTCATGCCCACATTCCAGTAGCTATCACAAGACCCTCTCAACAACTCCCACCCAAACACAAAATCCCTTCCCCACTCCTATAAATCCAAATGTAAGTCCCACCTAAACACAAACTTCCTCTTTAACTCCTGGAAATCCACACCACGTCACCTTTTTCCTTAAAAGGCAGTGCCAATAATAAAATGGGTTTAAATCTAATTGTTGATCTTAGTAGCTACAGCTTACCACAACAACAACACTTGGTCACTAGCCCCTTGAAGAAGCACCCAATGAAGCTCCGTTACATGGGACCTCCAGAAGCCCATTTAGCCACCATCTCCAGTACCATTCCAGTTGCTCTAACGTGTTACTCACAAGCAAAATAATACCCTGAATGGCGTTAAGCCATGACAGTAGAGGTGAATGCTCTACTCACTAATGGAACTTGGTCCTTGGTTCCATGCCACAAGTGAATGGACATGATAGCTTGCAAATTGGTTTATCGCACCAAAAAGCATACTAATAGTAGCCTAGAGTGATACAAAGCCAAACTAGTGGCTAAAGGCATCCACCAGCAAGAGGGAGTGGACTATGCAGAGACATTCAGCACTATAGTAAAGCTAGCAACAATAAGATGTATTCTTTCTATTGTACACACAAATCATCGACAATCAGACACCTTGCTGTTCATAACATGTTTCTTAATGAATTTTTACATGAAACTATGTTTGTGGAACAACCAATGGGGTTTGTTGATGAGCAGCATCCAAATCATGTATGTCAATTACACCGCTCACTATATGGCCTTAAACAATCTCCCCACATTTGGTTTGGTTGCCTACACTTTACTCTACTTCAGCTTGGGACTCTAAGATAAATTTTTCAGTCTTCTTCTATAACCATGGTGGTGTGTCTATACTGTTTTTAGTCTACATGGATGACATAATAGTAACAGGATATTCAAACTCTGCCATTTTCTCTACAATTACAGTATTGAATAGAAAGTTCTTAACCCATGACTTAGGACCTTTGTCTTACTTCCTTGGTATTGAGGTAGTTAAATAGCTGGATGGCATCCTGCTATCACAACAAAAGTACATCAAGGAGCTCCTACACAAATTCGGTATGGAAAATTACAAACCAATAAGCACGCCTATGTCAACATCTACAAAACCTCAGTCTCACACTGATTCGCGTCCCACTGATGAAGTTATGTATCGACAAATTATAGGGGCACTATAGTATGTAACGCTCACACCCCAGACATTGCATTTGCAGTCAATAAAGTATATCAATTCATGCACCAACCCACAACAGACCACTGAATAGCAGTATAATGCATTCTAAGGTATTTGAAAGAGTCTATGCATTATGGTTTGCACATAAAAAAAAAAAAAAAAAAAAGCTCAATGATCCGATAGGAATTTTCTGACTCGGATTGGGCTGATTGCCTAGATGACAGGAAGTCCACAGGTGGTTTTACTACCTATTTGGGAAAGAAATTAGTCTCTTGGAAATCTTGGAAATAGAAAACAGTATCCAGGATCTTCACGAAAGCTGAATACAAAGCTGTTGTAGATGCAACAACAAAGAAAACACAGCTAAGATCTCTGCTCTATGAATTGAGTATCAGTCAGGATTCTCCTTCCATTCTATGATGTGACAACATGGGAGCTACATACGTGGTTGTAAATCCAGTGTTCCATACTCGTACTAAACACACCAAGATTGATTATAACTATGTTAGAGATAAGGTTGCCAGGGAAGAATTATTGGTTCATTTTATTAGGCCAAGACCAAGTTGCAGATGCTCTCACCAAGCTGCTATCCTGTGATCTTTTCAAGTTCTTGAGGAACAAACTGACAATTCACTCTCATTTCATTCAACCACTATCCGTTTATGGGGAAGTATTAGAACAACATGGCACTGGAGCATTTCCACTGGAGCTAATACACGGCACTGCTGTTGGAGACAAATACGCCACTAATGAAGCTATTGGAGATAGATATGCCACTAATGACAGAGTTGTATTTTAGTTATACTTCCATGTAATGTATAGAGTTGTAGTCCAGTTACACTATCATTGACATGTATAAATATATACTACCACACGATATAAGTGATTTGATATAGAGAAACAGAATCCTTTGTTATAATTGTGGTCATGTCATCTTTCCTTTCTGCCCTCCTTCGATTGCCTTTTCTTTTTTATTCAACTCATTTATTTTTTCAATTCGCAGCATCTCTGTCTAACCTTTTTTTATGTCCTTCTCTTTTATGTTCATTTTGCTTTATGCCATTGGGTGCTTTTATGATGTTACCTTATTGTGCTCCGTTTGATTAATTTATTTGCTACCCTTTTATTCCATTTAGAAATTTATTTAATGCATGTTTTTCACTTTGCCAATAAATCTCTATATATGAAATAAGTTTTTGTGGAAGATCTTTTACTTATGCCACATGATGATTTCATTGGTTTGTTGGCATTAACCTACCAAAATTTCTGGTTTTTTTTTTTTTTTTGTAATAAAATTTTATTATTTAATTTGGGGAAAAAATTATGAAAAACCAATCATTAATTTTATTTTTTCACACAAGTCGGCAGTGATAAAATATATATAATATGTTTTCAGATTTTAGAATATATATATATATATATATATATATAATTGATTTCTTAAATTTATCATTTCTTATGAAAATTTTCATCAAATTAATTAATTAATTTATTTTTATTTTTAATATATATGATTTAATTTTTCTAAGTATAGATTTACAAAAATTAGAATATGATTATTTTATCTCTTTAAAAATATATTGATATAATTTCTTACATGATATATTCTTATGATTTTTAAATGAGAGTATTAAAAAGTTAAAGTGTATTTCAAATAATTTATCTCAAGTTATTTTAAAACATTAATTAATTAAAAAATAGAATTAACGTGTTTTATTTCAGTTTATTAAATTTAATATATTTCTTGCAACTTAATTTTTTTAGTATTTTTCGATTTATATTGCACACTTTAAACCCATTAAGTATAGTCATGCATGGCGTAAAAATAAAATTAGAACATTAGTTTTATTAAAAATTAGTTGTGTATCTACAAATATAATACCAACAATTTGCTATTAATTTTTTTTTAATATTCTAAAACCAATTTTTTTAAAAGCATAAGATAATTAAAATAATATTTTAAGAGAATCACCTAATAATTCAAATACAGACTTTTTACATTGATATTGTTGATTATTTTGTGAATAAGTTTATTTAAATTAAATAGACATATTTTGAAGAAAAAAAATTCTTCTCATCAGTGTTAAAATAAGAATGAAAAAAAATTCATTTGTTTATTTTTATAAGTTTTTTTTAAGCAATCTTATGAAGAATAAATTAAGGCTTTTTTTAAAAAAAATTTTATTGAGATTATAAGTTTTTATTTAGAAATGATCATAAGAAAGAATAAATCATGTTTTTTAAGTATAAAATCTATGAAAAAAAAATTATAAATTAGATGAATTTTTTTAACTTTTAATTCAATATTTTTGTTGAACCATAACATAATACAAGCTATCAATCTCAAATAATTTTTTTTTATAAATGAATTCACATGTTTTGCGTCATCCACTGTGTAGCCCTTGCAATCAATTGGTAGCCTACAAAAACAGATGATACTTTCATTATAAATCCACCCAATTTTACACAGTTCAAAGCTTCTAATAAAGTGTCATCATCTTATCTCCCAAATCAAACTCTAAACTCGAGTGACAAAAGAAATTGACGTCTTTGTCTTGTTCTTGATGCAAGTTGATTTGTCCCACCACAAGAATTTTAGATAGTTAATGTTAGGCTACTCTGCACACACATCCTAGTGTTTATAAACCACGCTATAATTTTAAATATACAAACTAATATGTCATTATCTTTCATTCAGGTTACGTCTCTATACAAATATTATTCCTCTTCAATTACACTTCCGCACCAGTACAACAGTACGCCTGCGCGGCCCTCCAAGGGTCCCAAATATTATTCCTCTTCAATCATAATTTCGCATCAGTTTGACAATAGCGCGCAGCCCCCAAGGGTCCCAAGTGAAAGCTATTGTTAAAAAATAAAAAAATAAATAAAAATAAAAAATCCACGATAATTAGAAGTTACATACTAATTGAAATTAAATTTTTTAAAAAATATTTATCTTTGAGAGTAAGTTATAAATTAATCCTTCTTATTTTAAGAAACGTATTAATTAATCCTTCTCGTTTAAGAAACTAATCATTTAATCTTTTTATTTTGAAATATACTTATAAGTAATTTAATATTTTTTGTTCTTTTTTAATTTATTTTGATTTTTTATTTTAGGAAATAGAAAAAGAAAAAAATGAAAAGATTGATGAGAAAAATAAAAGATTTTATGGTATAAAACTAATATTAATTAAATTAAACATGATCAATACTAATTAAAATACTAAATAATAGTTTTTAAAACAAAAACGACTAGTTAATTTATTTTTTAAAAAATAGAGGGACTAATTTATAATTTACTCATGTATATCTTGCATATTCTACCAATCAGATGAATTTAAAAACATCTTAAATGCTACCTTTAACGTTTGAACCTAAATATTAATACAAATATGAAACTGGATAAATACAATTGATGACTTTTTTTTCTTTTTATTACAAATTTGTACGTCAGCTAGCCCCCTGCGCTATAAATACCTGATCACCATGTGTTGCCTAAAATATCATACACATAAACCCAGTTCCTCATTGAGTCCCAATTTCAAAAACTTAGCAGAAATACTTTTTTCTTGCTGTTGCCATGTTGAGATTGATTGGAAGCTTGAGCTTCATATGGCTACTCATGGCCACATCCGCAATGGCTCAACCTGGCCTGCTGTACTGGATGCTGATGGCCAACCTCTTAGAAGTGGTGTAGAATACTACATACTTCCAGCTGCAACCGACACTGCTGGTGGTCTGACCCTTGTTAATCGTAATAATGGTTCAATATGTCCACTCTTTGTTGGTCAAGAACCTCTTGCACCTGTTGTGTCCCTAGGTACTTCAGTCATATTCACACCACGTGTTACTGTTAGGGATAATATTATAAGGGAGACAAGGGACTTCACTGTTGCATTCACTGATGTAGTAACAATTTGTGCTCAATCTACTGCTTGGATGGTAGGCGAGCGGAATCCAGAGAAAGGACGGAGGTATATTTTGGCTGAAATGGAGCCTAGACCATCTTCTAATATTTGGTACTTCAATATTGTCAAGAACGGTCAAGGTCTGTACAATTTTCAATGGTGTCCAAATTGTCTTACTGGAGTTTGTCCTAAGCCTTTGTGTGGGGATGCTGGTATTGTCGTTGAGAATGAAAGGAGATTGTTGGTCTTGGATGGTCCTGCTTTTCCTTTTGTATTTAGAAGGGCTCCTGAAATAATCTCCATCTCTCAAGAATAATGGCATTTTGCCAATCTAATAGTAATCTCAAATAAATAAATGGAGGTATTAATTAAATATATTGCTTAGCTTATTAAAAAAGGCTTTTGAGTTTTTGATATTAAATATATTTCTTAGGCTATAAACAAAGGCTGTTGTACATAATTAGCACCCAGCTCATATATATATGCATATGCCTGTGCTTTACAGATTCATCTCCCAAAATTGAACTGCACAACCATATAATTTGGACTAGATTGCAAAAAGTTATCTTGTTTGGGGATAAGTTATTTGGACTTTTCCAATAACCACGCCATCATGATATGAGTAGAAGCGCAGCATGCCTGAGCTATTTCTGTCAAATATTTTTAAAGTTGAAGTACTTGTACTGATACCTCTATAGTTTGGGATTTTTTATTTAGTTCTTAGGAGTACTTCTTAATTAATTTTATTTCCAACTGTGTACCTAAAGTATTTAAACATTTTCAATATAGCCCCCCTTAATATCCATTGTGATGTCATCCAAATTGTTGAGGCTTTTTTTTTTTTTTCCACAAATAAATAGAGCAGTTTTATGGGGAGCTTGAAATTTTTATTTTTACTTTTTCAGAAATTAATTTGTGAGAGTTTCGATAAAAACTCAATTTTGAATTTTTGAATCCAGTCGAAACAAAATCTTTTAGGAGTCAACTGAGTTTTATTTATTTATTTATTTATTTTATTCTCATTTAGAATCTTCAGCATATAAAAAAAGCTATTTTTAGACCTCTCCTAGTTGTGAAAAGGGACAACTGTTTTGATAATGACTTGGTTAAGGGTTACCATATGATAAAGAAAATCAGATTATATAATTATATACTCTATTTTTATTTGCATATAAAAAAAAACACGAAGAGTATACAAAAGTTTAATATACAAAATAAAGTACAATTACATTAGCGAATTGAAATTGGGTGTGCGAAGTTAATCGAGAGGAATTGTTCAAACAAAGTTGGGCCAAATGTGTTATGTCCTTTCGTAAAAGTGCTCCGACCAACAACTTCTTTATCGGTCAATTAAAGTGGCCGAAATTGAACAACTGCTTTCTTGGTCAATTAAAGTGGCCCAAGTACAAAATCCTAGTTGATTTTGTTTCGACGTTCATGCTTGGTAACTATAATTAACTCTAAAGTTGACCACATTACAATATTTGCATGACATGTCTAGGAAGTATCGGTAAAGATGTATCTGAATCCGAAATTTAGTATCTCTAGTTAAAATCTACCTAACTTTCCTTTCAAAGAAAGAATTCATGAGCCGTGAACATGTCAAATGTTTGAAATGCATATGAGAACCAACTCACAAAGAAAAATACCTATCGATAGGGACCCACATGTTGTGACGTGGGAAAGATGGAGTCGCCACTTAGATAATGGGAGAGAACTAAAAAATTGTAAACATACTGATTTATAAAGGTATCTAGGTAAGAGATCGGCTACATATGGAAAAGATATAAAATCACCGTCATCCCATCCTATATGAGTTAAGTTGTATTGAATGCATGTGAAAATAAAAATATGATTTTTAATTATGTTATGCTTGTCATGATTTTTTAAGTAAGTTTATTTCGTTAAGATGTAAAATAGAATAGTTTAGGGGTCCGAGATGCAAAACAAAGTAGTTTGGGGATTCGAGTCGATCTAAGGCCAATACCCCCACTCAAAGGGGAAAGGTGGAAGAAATTGAAATTTTGGCTAATCTTTAATCAACATGACTTATACCAATAAGTAAATGAGTTTCTCAAGATAGATAGCGTTTTATTAATATGAGTAGCAAGTCACCGCAACTTCACTCACACAAGAGGAAAGCCGGCGACGACTTCAAGTCATGGATCTAGAAAGTTACTAAAAATTTTATCACATAAGTGAGAAGCCACCGACTACGTCATTTTGCTCGAGCAAGGAGCGGATAACTAGTTTAAAAGTAATTAGCAACTTCGTCACATAAGTGAAAAGCCACTAGGAGCCTATTTTTCGATGAACAAACACATGCAAAATGATATCAAAATCATCAACAACTTTGTCACATGACTAAAAACTTCATTTTCATACATAGGTTTTAGAGAAAAATAGTTTTGGGGCCACCGACGACTTCGTCCACATAGGTGGGAAATCAATGTTGACCTATTTTTTGACAAACAAAACGTATGTAAAATGACTTCGAAATTATCTCGTGGCTTTGTCATATAAGTGAAAAGTTATCAATAACTTCGTTTTCATAAATACTTTTTTAGAGAAAAATGATTTTAGAGCCACTTGTAGTTTCATCCATATAGGTGGGAAGTCATCGGTGGCTTGTTGTCTAACAAATAGAACGTATGCAAAATGACTTAAAAAACAATGAAATTGGATGATATGCTTTTAATATGACATTACACATTTAGGCATATTGCAACCAAGCATGCCAAATCAATCAAACCATAAAACAAGCGGAAACTTTGCATTAGGAGTACTAATGTAAAGTAGAGTAGTTTGTTCATAATTGCAATTATAACAACATTCACTTCAACCACATTTAAATCATGAATATATAAATAGAATGAAAAATTTCATTCACATTTTAAAGGAGTACAATCATTACAGAGGTTTTATCTAAAAACGTTTTATAGTTTAAATGTCCGATTTGAGGGTCGGTTCTACTCTCATAATCTCCGATGATAACCGATTATTTAGTTAGCCGAGGAAGAAGAGTAGTTGCCTATTGTCAAATTATTGTATGGGTCTTACTAAGATGATTAAAGGTCCCTCCGAAGTCAAAACAAATAGTCTAAGTTGCTCGTTACCTCTAAAGTTATTGTAAATTTGCTAAAATTATTTATAAATTTTTACAATAACTCCGTAACCTACAAAACAAACACAAATATAGTCTATAACATCACATTGTTCCTACCAAACTCAATCATCCAAACAAATATATTTTTTATTATTTAATTTTATCCACTATTAATTGGTTTATGTCACTTTCAATAATCAAACTAAAGCATAAGTCGGCGGGCTATTTCGATGCTAGGTTTAGGATAATGAGGGTGATGGTTGGTAGTTAATTCTTGACTATAGTGGAATGGAGGTTCAACTCGGTTTGAATGGACCTAGCATCAAGAAAACTTAGTTATGGTGAGCTCTGTAGATTAGGTAGCTTGCTAAAGGTTTAAAGATGGAGGTGGGTTTGTGGTAGTTTAATGAGTGTTGAAGGATGTAGTAATGGTGTGTAGAGGTTTAGTTGGCTTTCGAGTGAGGGAGAGGAGGCTATTACAACGTGGGGAGGTCTGTTGGTGAGGAGCCGTTGGTTTTGGGGCTAGTTGTTGGTAAGAGAGAGGAGGTCGTTGCGATGTAAAGAAGCTCGCTGGTGAGGGGCTATTGGTTTCGAGGTTGGCTACTAATGAGAGGTCGTTTTGAGCTAGCTACTAGTGAGGGGTTACTTTGGGCTAGCTGTTAGAGGCTTGCAAGAGGGCTATGGGCGATGGCAAGGCCTATGTGAGTGTAGGGCAAGGGGCTAGCACACTACCGCAAGGTGAGTTGGCAAAGGCTTGCAAAAGGGATGTGGGTGAGAGGGTTACTATAGGGGGCATTAGCGAGCAAGGCTAGCAAAGGAGGGTTTTGGGCAAGAGAAGGGTTATGGGTGACGGAAGGGTTATAGGCGAGAGTTTTTATTGCATTTGGTCGGATCAAAAAATGAAAGGGATGAATATTGCTTGGTTTAAAAAAAAAAAAAACAAAGAATGGGCTTCTATTGGTAGGTTTTTGGTTTTTGGTTTTTTTGACAAAAGTCTATTTTGGTCCTTGATTCCCAATAATGCATCACTTTAAGTCTAATTTTAATTCTTTGAACTTCAAGTGCACCCTTAAATTGTAATTAATTAAGACTTTTCTCTTTAATTTCTTCTAATTATGCCTCCTCTTTATTTTAATTAAAGGATTGACGTTTTTTTTTTTTAATTGTACCCTCGATTATCTTTTTTTATTTCTAAACTTTTTTTCTAATTAGCCCCTATAACTAATCTAAGTCGATTGTTTCAATTTTTTTTTATACTTGGCATTTTTTTCTTATTTATTATTATTTTTTGATTTTTTCAATAAAAATAGAAATAAAAAGTAATGAGGAAAAAAATTGAGTGTAAACAGATTGCTCTCTCTTTACAATGTTTTCATTATAAAGCCATTGAAAGACTATTTTTCGACTTTGTTTAGGAAGCTTTGTAAAGAAAAACTTGAATTGAAACGAAAACACACGGTGCAAATAAATGAGCAAACTTAAAAAAGGAAAAAGATAATCATTGAATTTAAATGACAACTCGACCATTTAACGAGATATGATCGAAGGTGTGAGATATAATTAGTGAGATATAATCATTAATTTTATAAGACATGACAAACCACTCTAACCTTACAATATGACAAACCACTTAGACTCTAATGTACTTGAAAGGCCATTATGATTTAGCAGGACATGACATACCATTTTAACTATACTAAGTGTTACAAACCACTCTAATTTTGATAAGATGTGATAGACCATTCTAACCTTGCAAGATGTAATAGTGTACTTTAACCTTATGCGATGTGACAAACCACTTCAACATAGAGGAATATGATAGACCATATTGACTATGCTATATTTAGCGTATTGCTCTAATTTAGTAGAATATGAAAGAACATTTTGAATACGATAGATGTGATAGACCACTCTAACCTTATAGGATGTGACAAACCATTTGACTTTGTAAGACATGATAGACTACTTTGACCTTGCAGGATGTGATAGACAACTTTGACTTAAAGAGATGTGATAGACCACATCAACTATACTATATTTGACAAACCACTCTAATTTGGTAAGACATGACACACCACTTTGACGCTTCTAGGTGATAGACCTCTCCGACTTTGCAAGACGTGACATATGACTCGACCTTATAGGTTGTGACAAACCACTAATTTTACAAGACGTGACAAACTATTGTCACTTTACTACTTATGATAAAC